TGCAGGATGTTTGCTCATCGGGACTCACCAAGAAGCACCAGAGACAGTGTCACAGTGAACACTCTGGCACGGTTCATCTTGTGCTGTGAAGCAGCAGCAGCCAGGCGTCTTGCAGTTTGTTTGGCTGTTTCAAGCCACACTGAACGCTGTCGGCCAGCGGAGGCAGGACCTGATGCTGGTAAAGGCCCGCTCAGTTCCACCGGCGCACGGAGGCTTCTGCGGGAGGAAAGAACCTGGTTGAGCACCGGTCCCACCGTGTGAGAGCCGAGGCTGGTGGCAGCAGCCTTCACAGAGGCCCTCCCAGAGGACGGGCCTTGGGCTGCCCCTCGGCGCCGTCCCGGCTGCAGTGAGGATCAAACCAGAGGCTTCCCCCAGCTGCCCCGCTCCCCGGGCCACCGAGGGCTGTGTGCGCGCTTGCCCCCGGCCCGATGCCCCCAGCCGGTTCCCCCCGCCTCGTACCTCTGCCCCTGCGCTGATGTGTCCCCAGCGGGGACCTGCTGGCCCTCGCCGACCACCCGGCTCCCTGCGGGGCTCTTAAATGCCCTGGGGCGCCTTGCGCTCGCAGCCTTTCTCCTCGCCATCGCAGCGACAGGTGAGCCCTGGAAGCGGCACGTCCTCTCAGCACTGCCGTCCCAAAAGCTCTGAGCCCACTGGGTCTCTGCCAGCCGCAGCCCTTGGTGAGCTGTGATGTCACAGAGGGCATTGGCACAGCCGGCCCATGAGCAGGGCACGCCCAGCAGCCGGGGCCACGGAGGGCGATTTCTTGCTCCCCGCTCTGGACCCGAGAGGAGGGCCGGCCACAGTTCAGCCTCAGCTCTCCCTGTGACGCACACAAGCTTTTCTTCATCAAATCACAGGATCTCAGCACTGTTGGGTTGGAAGGCACCTCCCAGCCCCTCCTGCCCCACCGTTCGGAATTGCTTGGCCGGCGTTGGAGGTGATGGAGGGGTTCGGAACACGTTTCCCTTTTGGACTCAAGGGACGGCCTACAGACAGAAATTGCTGTGGACGTTCTCCAAGCTCCGACCCCTTTCAGGCCCTACCTCCTGGCCACATGCGACACGCTCCCTTTCCCCACTGGCTGAGGAACTCGGGGGATCCATTCCCGGCTCACCCACCACGTCACCCATCCGATGCCTGACAGCCTCCCTGGCGGCCTCGGTCCAACTTCTCTCTGCATTCGGAGCGGTTCTCTCCAACCTCCTGGCGCCTTTGGTAAATAAAACTCATTCCGAGGTCACCTTCAGCAGCCGAGTGGCGTCTCGCTTTTGTAAGGACACCCCCTCGTTCCCCACCGTCCCTTCATCCCCCCGGGACCCACCGCCCCTCCCGGTCCCACCGCCCCACGGGTCCTCAGCACGGAGCCCCGGCAGCCCGAGTGCAGCACCGCTGAGTGCCAGCCCTCGGGACTCCGCCGCTGCCCCCGTCGGACCTGCCGCCGTTCCTTTTGGCTCCTTGTCCTCGCTGCCGGCCGCTCGCGATGCCGCCAGCCGCACACGGCCTCTGTCCCAGCCGGGACCCGGTGCCGTCACTGCTGTCCCCGGGCGCCATCTGTCCGTCCTGGCGCCCGTTCCCGCCGTCGCTGTCCCCACGCCGTGTCCCCGTCTGCCCCCCCGAATCCCACCGGTGCCATCACCACGGTCCCGGTCGTCACCCGCTGTCACTGGGATGGCTCTCCACATCTGAGTGACGGAAGGACAGAATCACTGATGTCCAAGTGAAAGTAGTGGTGCCTTGTAAACAACATGCAGCAGCCAAGCAACCCTGAGAGCCAGAGAACTGTATGGAGTGAATCAGCACCCACACTCATAGAGGAAATTGTCCTTGTTTATTCAGTGTACCCACAGAAATGATCGCTCCCTCCTTAAAGTTGATGGCCTGCCTTTTAATTAAGTGCCTGCTGTTAAGCAGGGGCCTTTGCCGTATCCCAGAGCACCTCTGTCCCCAGGGCTCCCATCTGTGTGTTTTATCTTATCAGTGTTCTAGGAATCAAATGTTGTTTCTGCATTAGAATTGGATAACATTATTTTTATTTTATGATCTCCCCTATCATAGCTCTTTTTGGGAGTCCTTCTACTTAACTTGGGGAAGATCTCTGATAGTTTACATCACTTATCGTATAGACAAACCTTCCCAGGAACGCACACTCTGTATAGAGGTGTATAGATGTATATTTTGTCACACACTGCAGGAATATCCTGCACAAGAGCAAACCAGAGAGCAAGGGATGGCAGCCCGAGGAAGTGCCTGAAGAGACATCGGCAGGCCTGGATCATCCCCAGTGCTCTTTGTTTAACGATGTTGAACAATGATGACTTTAAAGAAAATCGCCATATCAATACAAGGAGAGCACCGAGACAGCTTGGAAACAACAGGACGGCTGCTGACTGACAGCAGGTAACAAATAAGTTAACAAGTAAATAGCAAATGTCAACCTTCTGTAGGATTGTGAACCTGGAGTACACAGCCACTGGGGAAACAGGGGAGGGGGGAGGCAAAGGGGAGAAAGCAGGGTTTAAAGGATGCTATGTTGTGTCCACAGGTGCTCCTGCTTGCGGGACGCCGCCATTGCAACCGCGAATAAATTCTGCATTTATCAGAGATACCGTCCTGACAAACAGGACTTCAGCAGGACTGAAGTTCACAGCTGAAGTTCACTTCAGTGACCTCAGAAAGATCTGCAGAGGTTTTCCCAGCCCCTTCAGACATGTCCATCGGCCATAAAAAGAGCATCCAAGAAAACCCCAAACAGAAAAGCTACCACGAGAACACCCACCCTGTCCTCACCCCACAAATTAACATCTTCAATGAGCTCTGCCGAAGCTGGCTAAGTATCACGCTTTCCTGCAGGGTTATGCAACTTCGAGGTTACTTTTTAGGCAGAACTCTTCTCCAGAAGAAAAGCTCTTGGGTGACTGAATATTTTACACTCCAACCCCAGACTTTCTGTGATGTGCAGGCTTCTTAGGAAGAAAAGTGAATCAAAGCCAGGACCGTGAGCCTCTTGCTGAATCTTAATAAGCAGATTCAGAATTCGAGAACATGAAAAGGGTTGTCCCTGAAGCCCAAATGAAAGAAGCTTTGGATTTAGAGGAGATTTTGATTAGGTTTTCATAAAGTGATTTAAAATTACCTGCATAATGCAAAGAATATGCCAAGGTATAAATGCAACGTGATTGCCAGCGATGGCAAACTAGCAAACTGAGCCACTGAACACACAAATGCCTTAGGGAATTTAAGGTCAAGCTGAAGTAAACAACATACTTGTTGTAAATTGTCACACAAGTGAGCCACAGAACACCTTGTGGCATTACAGTGTAAGAGCAATTTAACTTTTCTCCTGCAAGCTGACAGCAAATGGTATTGCACAGACAATTTTTAGGCTATGACATAGAAAAGCTGTTTAGAGTTACTGACAAAATGATTTTAAAAATTTTTAAATTTCTCTTCTGACATGCAAGAGCTCAAAATCCATGATGAAACAACCCTTGAGCTTACTGCAGCATTTCATTGGCAGGGAATCAAAGCAACTTCTCTAATCGGTGCAACAAAGAAGGGATAAGAGAACAATATACTGAGAATGTGTACTAGCCATTGAAAATGAACTGCTACAGATCCAGGCAGTAATTCTTATGGGGGCTTTGATGTATGAAGATGATGCTCTGTGCTACAAAATTCACAATGTTCTGCTACTTAGAATCACAGAATCACTCAGGTTGGAAAAGACCTTCAAGATCAAGTCCAACCACAATCCAACCATACTGCCCTAACTCTAACAGCCCTCTGCTAAATCACGTCCCTGAGCACCACATCCAAACAGTTTCTAAACACACCCAGGGATGGGGACTCAACCACCTCCCTGGGGAGCCTATTCCAGTGGTTAACAACACTTTCTGTCAAGAAGTTTTTCCTGATATCCAACCTAAACTTACCCTGGTGCAACTTGAGGCCATTTCCCCTCATCCTGTCACCAGTGAGAAGAGACCAACCCCACTCACTGCAATCACCTTACAGATACTGGAAGAGAGCAATAAGGTCTCCTCTCAGCCTCCTCTTCCCCAAATTAAACAGCCCCAGTTCCTTCTCTCCTCACAAGGCATATTCTCCAAGCCCTTCACAAGCCTTGTTGCCCTTCTTTGGCCAAAAATTTCATCTACAGCACGTTCACAAATAGTCTGTACCATTTTTTCCCCCCACAAATAACTGTATTTTTGTGACAGAGTATTACTGCTATTTTTGAAGATATCTATTCTGTAACCATATGAAGTAGATCATAGCATTGCTAATGCACCTAAATTTGGGTGGATAGACACATGGACAACAAAAGCACATACTGCATTAGGAGAGCAGCTCAGTCAGCAGCCTGAGGGATATCAAGAGTATCATGAATTAACCTAAATTGGGAATCCAGCTTTTTATAATATGTGTTATTTTAAAGTGTATGTACATCAAAGTAAGGTAAAGAAGAACTTAGAGGTGTTCCAGTTTTACAGTTCTGTATTAATATGGCATTATGTCAAAACTTAAAACATAGAATCATACAATTGCACAGGTTGGAAAGGATCTTAAAGATCAAGTCCAACCACAACCCAACCACACTGCCCTAACTCTAACAACCCTCTGCTAAATCATGTCCCTGAGCACCACATCCAAATGGATTTTAACTACTTGTTTCAACATCATAACCCAACGGTGACATAATGTATTTCCACAGAGACTAAAAAACTGCATTTGCAGTTTTGAAAAGTAACTTTTCAAAGGGTTGTCTGTATCTATTTAATTTAATCAGGGAACATTTTGAAGAGACCACACTTTCTGATGATGTTTTCTGAAAGATCAGCTTGGGATGTTGAAGTTAAAAATAAAGGTGTTTTTGTTAACATCCAAAGAGACTTATTTAACTTAACTCTTTTGAGTTCCTGAGAACAAAAGAAAATCTTCAAGGCCTCATTTCTGAAAGGCCGTATTTTTTTCTGTGAAGCCAAACAACACTACTACACTTATTTTATAAGTATTAAGGTCTGCTGCTAACACTTAAAAGTCTCTGCATGGGTTCAACATGGCACAAACCTAGCTGCACTGTGAAGACTGAGAAAGTGACCATTTTCTAACAAACTATGAATGTGTAGTCACACAAGTGAGGTACGATCTGGAAGAATGGAATTAAAATTTAACAAGTTTGTCAATCTAATATGTAATTCAGAACACCAGCACCTTCAAACGCTCAAGTAATCCCACATCAAGAAGTCAGATTCCTCATGGATCTCAAGTTTGCTAGTAAGAATTCAAATTCATTAATTTTTCTTTACACGACCGTGATACGTTGCCAGTCTGTGAAACACTTAAATCTTCAGACTGTTTTCCTGTCTTTTTATTTTCCTTCTCAGTTCCACAGTTAAGAATAAGCTGAGCACAGGAACAGCGAAGTACGAATTGTGTAACAAAGCGCTACTAAGCAAAGATTTTCACATTTTCCCTTTCCAGCATGTGGATAACTTACAGAAATCAGTTTTGAATCACATTCAGAATTATTTACAGAAATGATGACTAACAGAAACTACAGTGCCTCCTAACAGGCTTGGTGTCACAGACTGGTATGGAGAGCTAGGGGACTGCTATTTCTTCATCTCCAGGATTGCACTTCCTGGTCCTCTGTGTTTGGCACTGCATATGTTGCAGAACTGGACTGAAGATACCTGGAAATTAAAAAGAAAACAAGTGTCTCAGACAAATATAATCAATTCATCATGAGAAGATGAGTGAAAATTGCTACTGTTCATCCCAGTGTTACTATTCACATTCAGGCTGCTGCCCATCGACAAAGTCATGGATAGGTTTAGGAATGTGACAATGCTGAATAGAATAAAGCAGATTGTTCTAGAGTCAAAGGGCAGAATTAAGGAAATTCAAACGGGTCATATTCCCTGCACTATTCAAAGTTGCATCATATATTGAAAATTTAGATTGAAAAAGGTTATAAAACTTCTCAAACAGCAGCAATTTCTTTCTAAACTGGATACATTTTGCTTGCAGCAGTCCGAAATATCCTTTCCCTAGTCATATACTATTACAAAGTACCATCAAAAATAATAACTGCAATCACAAAATAATCCCTGATAGAACCATGCCCTTCCCCAAAGATGAGATAAAGAAATTGTCTTCTTGTCTTTGGCAGAAGTGACAGAGATTAAGATTGGTTCCTTACTGTGTTAGATACTGGGAGACATTCTTTGTGAAACGTGTCTGCAGTGGAACACCACCACGTTGAAGGACTTGGATGCATCTGGGAAAGGGAAAGGTAAATCCGTTACAAAAGGACAATGGAACAAAGGATTTGGGGGCTACAGTCATAGCCCTGTTTGATTACACACACACAAACATCAAGTCACACCTTTATCACATTAATTTTACAAGTTATTCTGTCTTATTTATAGAAATGACACAGGATGATGCTGTCAGGTAGTGTGTCCTAGTGGTGAAGTTACAAAATGATTTTATTCTGATTTTTATTCATTATGATTTTATTAAATGATGTACACATTTTCAACTGAATTTTTCATTTAACATGTTTACATGTTACATTTAATATGTGCCACATATTAAATCTAGGGAGGGCAAAGAATAATCTACCCCCAAATAATTCAGCCACTTTGAAGAAACATGAACAAAACCCACTCTTGCATTAGTGAAGGGAGAACCAAAATATTGAGTATTACTAGAGTCTATGCTCTCAGGACATAAGCTTTAAATGTGGCAATAAGCTGTGTAAGTGCTTCTTGATTCATGAATATTTAGCCCAATTAGAAACCTCCATACAGTATTCATATATTCAAAGAACTTTCACCTCACTTATCAGATACACCCATCTCTCAGGGCGCTTGCATGTCCAACTCTGTCAGGTTTTCTAGCACCAGGTGTCTGTTCTGGTCTGTATGTTGGTGCATGCAATCACAATACAACTGTATGTATTATTTTTTTCCTTTTTTTAAGCAAAAGATGGTAGAAACAAGATTAAATAACTGGAAAAGATTTTATTCAGCTATGCAAACAAAGAATAGTTGCATCCAGATAGTTTGTCTTACATTTTCTTGTTTGAGGATGCTGGGACAGATACTCGCCTGGTCAAACTACTATTTCTTAAGATGCCTAGCACCTATATTGACATTCCTGAAATTAGTTCCTTTGCAGAATGTACACCTTCAAAAATGAGATACTGAATTTCTAGTTTCAAGACTAACTTCTGAAATGTTTTGAAGTGTTGTAAGAAGTATACCACATACAAGTTTATAGCCTGCAAGTTCAGTCTAAAACACAGTACAAATTTAAACAAAATTTGATGGGATCTGTTTTGTTCCACGATTCTGATAATCTCTGAGAATATGCTTGTTGACTGGTTAAAGCTGTTCTACAATTTCAAAGCAGGAAGTAAAAAAAATCACACATGAGTAAAGAAGGAAGTAAGTTGAAAGGTTCAGGTTAGCCTCCATTCCCAAATTAGAATTCATAAGCAAGCTTCGCACAGGAGACCAATATTTATACAGCGATTATCAAGGGAGAGTATTACACATTTCTCTGAATAGCAGAAAAAAGCAGTTCCTGTAAAAACAAAAAATAGCCTCTTTTTCTTCCAGAAAAGCATCCTACCTGCAGGAAGTATTGGAGACAGGCATGATTCACAGATATTTTCCTCTGGAAAAAGAAAAAAAAAAAAAAAAGGAAATAAATCTCTAACATTTTGTTAACAACCTCCCTGTTTATTTTATTTTTTAATGAAACCGGTATTTACACATTGCAATCACAGAAATTGATCTCGATCTTAGAGTATTTATTTAAGATACTCATCACAGATTCTCTGATTTTTGTGCAGGAAGAAGCAGGAGCTATATCAATATCAGAGCAGTAGAGGCATAAGGCAAGCTCAAATGAAAAAGGCAGCATAACATGGGTTCCTGACTTCTCTGCTGTATTTTTCCAGCAGAAGCTCTGATCTTCTGTCTTTCCATCACTCCTGGTATTAACACACATCTTGCATAAATCACAGAACTGCTCATGCACATCAGCAGAGCCGCACAAAATATTTTCAACCATTTTTAAAAACTACCTTGTTGCAGGATGTTACTACCTGACTACCTGTTTTGGCACTGAAAAGCATTTTCCACCTTTACAGACAAACTGCAGGATGCAACATATTGCCAGCAGTGCAGAGATTGAACAAACAAAAAGCTACACGACGGATCTCTTCTCTACAAATAAGATTTACACTCCACAAAAAAGAAGTAATACTCAGGTTTTCTAGCAGCTGTCAAAATGGACTGTCACATGGCTTTGGTCTATAGCAACAGAAAAGACTTCAAGTCACCACGTTTCTGCTGTACCCACCATCTACCAGAACGCCCTTCATCTGAGTTCAATGCATTTTCTTCAGCAAAGAAAGAGATTCAGCAACAAGAATCTTCTTGCAACCTTCCCGCAGCAAGATCTGTTTTGCAAAGAGCACAACTTACAGCAGTTGTTAAATGGGTGGGCATAACCATCATCCCACCAAGCCACCTCTGGGTTTCTGCTGCTACAGAACAGAGCAGAGAGAACAACAAATGTTTAAGCCTTTCCAAGATATCAGACCTTCAAACAGCGAGGGAAAAAAAGGATAAGAGGGAAGGAATCTCTACTGAAATGGAAGAAAACTATTAAAAAAAAAAAATGAAAGACCTCAGAAAAATCAAAGCCTTTGCAAATATGTTATTGTCATAAATAAAGATCATCTTCCCATAAGCTTCTCCTAACAGAATACAACGGAGGTATTTCTTTACACTGCCCCTAACAATTGGATTCTAAACCACTTCAAAACTTCCTCCATTCATATCTTCCCTGTCTATGTCAGGAAACAGATACGGTCATCCTAAAACCTTCAAAACCCAACAATTTAAAATTTATTTTGTTCATGCATTTCCTGCTCAGATGCCATTCAGCAAGCCACACTTAAAAGCCCATGCAACTAATCAAAGGTTAGACCTTGTTCATCCTTAGCAAAAACTCTTAAGAGTGCTTTTTTAACTGTAGTATTTTATGTCAGATTCTTATTGTCTGCCACTGTTGTGACACACAAAAAGAGAGAGATCTCTGGCATCAAAATTGCATACAGTACTATTTCCCAATGCTTAGTGAAGAAGGTTCATGACAATATGACAAACCCGAACAAAGGGTTGTCGGTTTTCTTGCTCCCACCCCATATTCAACCAATGCTTGGAAATTTGCTTTCCAAGACCAGAATTCTTCTGAAGTCTTCTGAGAGAGAGAGATTAATAATCAGTTTTAAGCTGAACAAACAAACAAACCAAGGGAGGTGTTACAAGAAGGCAATGCCTACTTGTTTCTCCAGATTATTTGCACCGCAGGAGATAATGAGCATTAAACCAGACCAGGATGCTGCCAATGCAAGTCTCTAAAAAGAAGTATAACAATAGGTTTTACAGCCAGGTGAACACTATCCAAAACCCCATCTTCGTAAATATCACTGTGAACTAAAGATGACATGCTGCCAGAGTCATTATGCAATTAAGACTGTGTATCTGAAATACATAATAAAAAAAATAAATTGATTAACATTAAACATTTTAAACTGGGCATGCCAGTGGGTAAATGGTATTCTCCAGCACTGGACACAGCAAGTTACAAAACACTTCCGAGCTCAAGAAGCTGAATGCAAACCAAACACTTAGAGAATTAATCAATTTTATGTGTGATAATCTCAGCAGCTATCTGAATATGCTCTTCACCTTCCAACTTTGCCCAAGGGCAACACAGAAAGGCAAATTTTATGTTAAGTAAAGGAAAACATCACTAGATTTATTAAGAAATACTTAGAAATTTTTTACAGCAGCAACTGGACAAGACCATCTTTCAGGATGAGTGCTCTGACCAATGTGGAATATTCTCAAGCAGCAAACTCTGGCAAAGATAGGTAACTAACTCAAAATGGACACGGTCTTCTTTGGCTATCTACTGGAGTTTTTGCTAACTGCACTTAGCACAAGCAGATAAAAAATTGCATGTTTAAGTAAAAGGAACAAAGAAAACATTGCAAATGGTGGAATAAAGATACAATGATTCACTACTTTCTACTTAAAATACAGAGTGGCAATAGGAAAACTTCAGTTACAAAAGAAGATCGAAACAAAAAGTACCAAAACATCAATTATGTCTCATGAAAACCTCAACACTACTTGATCCTTTAAAAACAACACAGAAGAAACAGAAACATGTTACAAGACATATGCAGCACCTTCTCTGTGACAGTTAAAACTCCACTAAGACTTTGCACACAATATTCAATGACTGATCGTCAGACTTTATTTTTATTACAAGTGGAATACAAGGTGCAGCCACCATAATGTAGAAGGAACTTGGAATGATGGAGGTGAAATATAAAATGTCTAGGCAATAAATCAGCACTTCTGTAGAAGCACATTTGAAGAGCTCAAGGAAGAGATGGACAATATAAGAACTGTAGAAAGAGAAGTAAGAGAGGGATTTTGGAGATGAGACAGGGAGAAAGTGTGCTTGAATGAACTTCTTTGTATTAAAAGCAGGGAGAAGCATTTATCTCTGCCTGAAGATTAGACTAAACTTGACATCAGATGTAAAACTGTAATGAAACCATCCTCTAAAGAGATGCAGTAAGAAACAAAAAGTCTTATGAAACAATTTTTTTACCCTTTAAAAAGTGCTGTAAACACAATCAAGACACCATGGTAGGTTATGAGAAAGAAGAAAACTTCTTAAAAAAGTGGATCTGGTGCTTCACCAAATTAATGAAACCGTCTGCAACCAAAATATTTATTGGGAAAAAAAAAAAAAAAAAAAAAAAGACAGAAGAACTGGAGTTCATTCTTTGACTCCAGTAGAAAAGGTGCAGCTGCATAGTTAAAATCACAAGCAATGGAAACTGTTATTCATGTAGGTCGCTCCAAAAGTAATGCCTCTTATTTATTTCCACGGAAACTACAACAAATACAAGGAGCACAGTAACACCATTTGATAAATTCTCAGCTACAAAACACTATTTTTCAACATAGCCACTACCATTAGCTATGCATTTTTGCCAGTGATGAACAAGAGCCTGAGTACTGCACTACTAAAAATCTGCACCAGTGGAGGTGGCCTCACCTGTTTCACAGCTGCTAATGATGGTGTAATTGCTAGGAAAATGTTGCCAAACAGTCCATCTTTCAACAGACTGAACAGATGGAAGTCAGAAGGTGCCAAATCCAGACTACATGGTGGGTGTGGTAGGACAGGCCGGCCAAGACTGGCAATGTGCTCCATGGTCTTCCAAGTGGGATGGGGTCTGCTGTTACCATGTTGCAAGAGAAAGGCTGTCTTCTTCTCTGGCCTGACCCTGTAAGCTTGAGCCTTCAGCTCAGTCAGTGCCTTGATTTAGTGGTCAGAGCTGATGGTCTGTCTGAGTTCCTGAAAAGTCCATAGTGATCACCCATTTCCTATCTCTACAGACAGTGCACATAACTTTACCTGCTGAGAGCTGCATCTTGGAACTTTTTCTTTGATGGAGATCCCCATGTCACCACTCCATGGACTGCTGTTTTGATTCTGGCTAATAGTGGTGGCATCATGTCTGCACACCATGTGATCCAGAAAATTGTCACCTTAAGTCTTACTCAATACATTCTGATAAACCTGTATATGGTGTTCTTTCTGTTCCTGTGTGAGCATTTGTTGGATTCACCTGTGCAAACTTTGCAGTATCCCAATGTTGTCACCATTGTTTCTAATGTGCTGCAGCCAGTATTCAGTTCTGTACACAGTTCCCTGGTTGTAATCTTGCTGATTCATGTGGTTTAGGCGATCGAGATGCTCTTCTTTTTGTTATGGCAGCTGTGCATGGCTGTCTGGAAAGTGGGTTGTCTTTCAAATTGCTGTGCTTCAGTGTTTTGTCTCCAAAAATATTCAGCAAGAGTTGATGAATGTCTACAGGTGCAATTTTTTTCCACACGGAGGAATTCAATTCCACACTTTTGTTTGAGATGCACTTTCATGTCAGAAATCATTTTGTTGCTGTGCTAGAGATGGTCCCTCTGCTGCCATCTGCAGCATGGCAACAAAATATAATGGAAAATTCGTGGGAGGGTTCAACCTCTACTACTACACCAACATCCGCTTCCAGTGCTGTGGGACAGGGCCATAAAAAGACATTACTTTTGGAGCATTCTTCATAATTAATAAAGTCCTGATTTGCATATACTTAACATTACCTTTAAAGGAAAACACTGCAGTATGCAGTTAATTTGAAGGTTATACTCAAAGCACGAGGAATACATTCGGACCAGCACTCAACAAAGCCCAAGTTTCTCCAGGACAATTACCCCAAAATCTCCAAAATGCATCATTACCCCAGTGAAAGGTATGTTACGTTTAGTTACAGAATCACAGAATGGCCAGCGTTGGAAGGGACCTTGAGGATCTTGAATCTCCAATCCCCTGCCACATGCAGGGCCAACAACCTCCACATTTAATACCCGACCAGAATGCCCAGAACCCCATCCAACCTGGCCTTGAACACCTCCAGAAACACATCCACAGCCTCTCTGGGCAGCTGTTCCGGCACCTCACCACTCTCATAGTAAAGAACTTCGCCCTGACATCCAACCTAAATCTTCCTTCCCTGAACTTAAAACTATTTCCCCTTGCCCTGCTGTTACCTACCCTTTCAAAGAGTTGAAAAAGAGTCACTACAACCAAGTGGTGAGGGTCTCACTATGCAAGCTGCCACCCGTCCCCAGTGCCTCCTAGGTGTCTGAACAGCTGCATATCTACATCCAGGAGGAAACCCTAACAGCTCCTCCAGATACTTTCAACCAGCATTCATTCATCATTCCCACTGGTGTCTGCTGGTTCACAGCAGAATGCTTTGAATGGGAGAATTATGGATGGACAGCCTCCATCAGAGGTACTGCAGGTTCAGTCAAAGTCTAAACCAGTAACTCATCATCTGAGTAAAATGGCTAACCCACAAAACCTAGAGATACTGAATCTAACCAAACTGCTTTTAAATTCTAAGACCATTGAGTGTATGTGGGGAGAACAATGTAAGAATACCCAAATCTTTTGAAATCTTTTACTGAAAACTGTCAAAAAGAGGTTGAAAAATTAGGCGTGTTCTGAAATAAGGGAGGTGTTTAAATCTCCAACTACGCAAGCATTTCTTGTGTTTCACTTAGGCAGACTCTTATAAATTCAGAAAATGTAACAGACATAACTAACACAGAAGTAAACAAATAAGGGACATTTAAGATCAGCTTTCTCTGTGAGAAATAAGTGTGATGCAACAACTATTGAAGACATGGGCTGTAATTATACATTTTTTTTTAAGAAATGTCAGTTTATTTTAAGAAATGCTACCAGATTCCTTAGTTAAGACCACTGAGTTATCAGTTACCAGAGACTTAAACACACAAGATTTCATATTTTTTTTCAATTTAATTCACAGGGAACTGAACATTGAAGGCAGATACAAAGTTCAAATACACATTACAGAGAAAATAATGAGTTTCGGTCCAGAGATGATGTATTAAAAAAGCCCCAAGAAACTAATTAGCATCAGTTTCATTAGAAAAAAACATATATACATTGCACAGAGATTGTGGTAAATGTTAATTTTGCTATGTTTTTCAAACAAAAGCAATACTGGCCTCACACTGTTTGCTAAGAGATACTTAAAAAATTTGTACTGCAAAAACACTAATGGGAACAGAAGACCCTTATGAGTCTCAGAAGAGACCTGTATCAGAAACAACATCTGCAGTGTGTAAAATAGATTACATAAGAACGACAGTATTTTCTGATGCAAAGCAAATCTAAACTGTTTGCATCCACTTAACTTAAGGGGCTCAAAACAGGCAAACTCCATGCCTACTTGAGCAAGTAGCACATTATTTGCATTTTTAGAATGGTCTTCAAACAACCACAGCCTTTGGCTGCGAGGGTATGAAGCTGGTATCCAGAAAGCCTAAATGGGTGACAGCAGCCATTGACCTGTTCTCAGTCCTGTCACCCTGAAATGTGAAGAAGGGCAAGATGCATCAGATGGAAAAATCTGTGTTAGGAAGATCTTATGATAGGAGTTTATACATTACTGACTGAAGACAGGCTGGACATCGTAGGAGAAAACATTCTCACACAGCCAAACATTTTACTATTGCTGAAGAGTACTGGCACTTCCCCAGGTTCAGAACTGACTTTTTTCTTGTTCTTCCAGTGAAGAAGATGTTCTTGTAGAGGAGCTCCAGTTAAATACGGTTTGTCTCCAGAAGATTATCAAAAAAGATTCTATTACAACTGAATCCTAACTTTCAGCAAAAAAACATATTTGTAATTTGAAGAATTTAAAAGGACTGTTGGATGAAACAAAGGTCATATAGCTGGCAGGTGCTCTTATCTATGTAAATACAACATCAGTTTGCAAAGTCACACTGACAACTTCTCAGTTATACAGAGATAGCTATGTTTTGATTCCATGTTTTTGAAAGCACTTCTAAATGCAAGCAGTAGAGTTGAAAACCATTAAGCTTTTCTCAGGATATCAATATAACTTAGGCCAATTTGGTTAGCCTGCCATGGATTTGAATGATAACTAGTTACAGTGAAAATGTTGACTGGAGAAAGGAGATTCATTTGCTGTTAAATAGAAGATGTGCTAGGACCATGTCAGTTTAATAAACTGCAGGTTCCTCTTTAAGACTGTAAGCTTATCTTCAGGACTTTACAAATTCAAATGAAGTAGCTCGTGGTCTATTTCATCTATAAATTTATGGCACTGAAGAATTAGATTTCAGGAGATAGATATAAAAAAAAGTTTTAGATTACACTTACTTGATAAATATTGTTAAAATGCAAACCATTATAACCTTATCTTTACAGCCCATGTCATCATAACTTTGTCTATGAATGCTACTGTATATAAACACTGAAATTGCTACAATGGTTATGGTTTTAATACATTAACTTTGATAATGACAAACAGAACAGAAAAGAAAATGTTTCTCAGGAAGGGAAGAAAAAACAAAAAAGGCAATAACCACTTGGAGTTCAAATCCCAGTTCAGAAAAGCACTCACATGAGTGCTTACATCTTGTACTGTTTAGGTAAATGCTGAAGTCTGTACTCAGCTATACGTCATGCAAAACTGCATTTCCAGAAATGGGAAAATAAAAAAAAATAAAAATAGATAATTCTTATAAGAATAATAAGGCAGCTGAATAGATTTCCAGCTGTAAAGCACAGCTGTAAAACCACGCAGAAATAAATTAGTAATACTTATTTGAATGGATTGTCCATGAAGAGATAAGTCTCACATTATCTGCACTTTTATAGAATACCTAATATCTCTTTTAGTGTCATTTTTGTTTGGTTGGCAGCAAATCACAGAATCACACCCTTCACAAAACTGAATTATTCACTTTAAAGCTGTGGTGAGCTTAGGGTAGCACATACAATGGTTGCAGCATTCATGTAAGAGATGGTAATACGTTGAAATGAAGTAATCAATCTGCAGTATGCCAGCTTTGATAAAAACTTACATTATTCAGGGAAGATGTCAGATTAGAGAGATGTTAAAACAAATTTGGTTACATTAATAGACTTATTTGCTGGATTCACTAACACACTGTAAGCTACATATGGCATGCTTTGGCAGCCATTCAATTTAATTCACTTGATTTTGTTGGGATGTTAAGAATGTTGTTTCAAAGAGAAAAAGTCTAAGCAGACCTGCTTTTAGACATACATAAAATCACATCTCGTGGAAAGTTTACCACAAAGGAAATTTAGGAATACAGTAGGAAATTTGCACTTGTGTAAGTACTAAAACAATCCTTACAAGGCTTGAAAATAAGGTCACAGTCAAATAATATAAAGGCCCAGGTGCAATACCATTTGGGGGAGCTGATGTTATAAAAAGATCAGCATGGTTTTCTTATTTGGCAGTGACTTGCAAATGAAGCAATGGGTTATAAGTTCATGTGTGTTCAATCTTTGTGGATCTAGAAATAAGATTTCCTTTTTTGTCTTTGAAAATGGGAATAGTAAGGCTTGTGCACATATGGAGCTGGTGATCTGAAGGGATGAAATCACACAAAGTCCTAACCAAAGAAAGCTGGATTGCTGTACAAGTTTGAAGTGTCTGGTACATTATGTGATACAAATCAGGAAGTTTTTACCAAAATGAAAGCAGTTGTCCCAGGCCAGAATAGAGAACAGATTTCAAACCACAAAGCTACACAATGTGAAGAAAAGGTGTGACCAGGCATCATACAGACAGACCAGAGACTAGCTCTGAAGAGGCTAATGACACAGTAGTCATGATGAAGCTAGGACAGAACTGCCCTCAGCTAGGAACAGCCACTTAAAACATCTACTTGAAGTCCTAGCTGTTTCCTGAAGTATGTGCTGAATGCAGAAACAGTTCTGTTAACAAAACTGACCATGCCAAATTAAAGCTACTTAGGTGAGTGTGCACCCAAGAGCTGCGATCACATCTCTGACACCATCTGTTTATAATGGTGCACTTTATATTGCCTGTACCACTTCAGGAGCAGCCTTACTCTAAGCTATAGCTCATAATTCTCAAAAAAAAAACAACCAGTCCCTTAAGTAGGCCTCTTAGTTTCTTTTTTTTTTTTTGCTATGTTGTCTTGCTATAGTGCCACAAATCCAAGCACAAGTTCCATTAAGCTTCCTAATTCCTACTTCTCCTCAGAGATATAAATTTTAGCCCTTGAGCTACCCAGACCTACTTCAAAATGAATTAACTTAAAATCCATGAAGCATTTCAATTATAAGTACATAAAAAAAATTTAGATACTGGTCTAGAAGTAAGTAGTGCAAAGTAATTTTGTTAAAAGCCATCTGAAGAGAAAATGATTCTTATGTTCACAAAATGTGACCAAATGATTTTGTCAGCTTTATCTGAATCCCCTAACACACGCTGCATGTATGCAAACAGCACTTTATCACTCTCTGTGCAGAGGTACTCAGTGCTCCATTTTTATTTCAACAGAATGCAGGAACAGTGGGATCAGCAGCTCAAGCAGCAGGGAACTGACAGCAACAAGATCAACATGCAACTGCTTAAAAGATGCACGCAATTTTACTAGCATTATTTTGGAAAGATAGTAATATCTAATGAAGTCTATTAAAAACCTGCAAGTAATGCTACAACCTGCAGTACATGCAAACGTGCACCTGTCTGTTGTGGGTAACTCCTTCCACAAAACAGAGGTATACAGGAACAAGATACTTATTCTCTCAGAAATCCTGAAAGTCACAATCTAAAATACCCAAATCATCCAAGTCTTTCAAAAATTCTACTTACTCACCAGGCTTATGACAGTATGGGAGAGATTCAGAAGAGGCAGAAGCTATCTAGAGAAAAAAAGTATTCATCTGGACAAATTTCTACCCTTTCTGTCAAGGTTTCATCCCGAGTCCCTGCGATAATGATGTCCCAACAAGATGAACAAACCTAGGTGACAAGCATTTCTTGTGCTGCTCACTGGTGAAATGGTCTTTGATGTCTTTCCGAAAATCTTCAGAGGAAGAGCACAACATTTACCTGCAAGTTGTAGTCCTGAAGAATTTTCACTAGTGAGTCTCTCAGATTAGGAATCTCCATGCCTTCCTTAATACGATGAATCAAAAGAATGGGGTCAACATGAGTACCAATATTGTTCAACAAAGCAGTAATAAAAGCTGTGAAAAACAAGAAACAAGTAAATTAAGAAAAAAAATCCATCCACCTTCTTAAAGGATGCTTCAGTAGCAGACAGGCTTTGGTTGTTTCTATGACAGCTCTTTACAGAGAGAGCACTAAACCACTTCTACATAGCCTTCACATCTTTCTTGCAGCTGCATTTACTTGAAAATAGGCCTTTAGGGAAGATAAAGACACAGTTTGCCTATTTACAAATCTCCAGGGGTATCTGGAAAACTGATACCAGAGTAGCCAGCGCAAGTCATCAAAACCACAAGAGAATAACACATTTCAATTCAATAAAAAGGCACCTGTACAAGCAGAAGTAGAAAATCCACTTCATTGTTTGAATATTCTATTCTAAATTGCACGATTAAGAAGTGCATTTGCAAACACTTAACTTCAAGGAAACATGTTTCTCAACAGTGACAAGATGGACACTAATGTCCAACTTCCTGAAATGCAACTGGCTAAATGAAATAGAAGGATGAACTTCCAATAAGACAGAGCTGACCTCAAGGGCTCAATAACATGCTTTAACTCGGTCAGCACTGAAGTTAACAGAAAGTTGGACTCAATGATCTTTGAAGGTCCCTTCCAAGTGAACTATTCTGAACGTTCTTCTTCAAAGACCAAGAATAAGGAACACCACTGGAGTTGCTCTGCATTATGGCAGATGGAATGGAGATAACTGTATATGCTTTGAGTTCCTTTTCCTCTAAAGTTGTCAGTAACTGTAGCATTGTTTTTAGTGAAGAATGACATTTAGATAGGGATTTCTGTTGGTAAGATAACTCGATAACATCATAATTCCAAATTAGTAACAAATTTTGGTTGTGGCTGCTTGTCAGAATTAGTGGACAAGTGATGAAAATACATTTATTCTGATGTTAATTCTATGAGACCTTCAATCCTTTGGAAAAAGAGATCCCCACAGAGATTTTAGAGTCTTGATTTGAAGCACCAAAAGAGACTGCAAAACTAACAGACTTTGCAGTTAAAATAATTCTGTATTTTCCCAGTCATATGAACTCCTCTGAGTTTGCCTCCCGAATAAAACTGATGCTGTTAAGGAGCTTCTGACAGCTCGTGATTCCATCTGAACTTTAAACTTGAGTAGACGTTTATATCGTGGATGAAGAGCAAAAATGCTCGTTATTACAGATCCTGCATTGATGACACAGAAAGAAAACAACTGAGGGGCAGACAGGTGAAGACTCTCCATTTTCAAAATTCCTAAATTCCTAAATTCCTAAATTCCTAAAGGGAAGCAGCTTTCAGGGTTTATTCTGAGGGTGCCTAAAAATAAAGCTTCATACAGTGCCAAATTAAAAGTACCATTCTGTCCTTACTTTGTCATTAAGGACATAACTGCACAGAGCTTTGTCAAGTGTTAAATCTCTATGTACTCATCTTGTACCATGCCCACATGTTGCCTTATGGGAAGCTTCTATGCTTAGCAGGAGGAGATAAGGCATGCTCTACCAAGCAGAACGTCTCCCTGGTGATCCAAAAATGCCTTTGCTAGCATGCATGTGGATAATTCAATCCTTTATGTGCAGTAGCATTCTACAAAAACTACACAGGAAAGGCTAAGAAACTATCCTGCTTACGTGGTTTGTCAACAGAATACAAAATGAGGTCTTCCCAAAGTTCTCCATCATCTTGTTCCTTGGCAAATTCAATAGCTTTATCTACATCTTGCAGTTCTTCCATTATCATCTTCAAAGCACTGCGGCTGTTCCCCATTCTGCCTAGAAGGATAAAATAAGTGAAGAGCTTATAAAACCTAAAGCACTGAGTACTGATAAGCATTTAAGAAACACTTGTTGCTTTTTCCTTACGAATTTTCTAAGTGATAAATTCCCCCACATTAAAAACCTAATCTAATCAACTTGATGAATGGAGAGCTCACTCCAGAGCTATCAGTATCACCTGAACATGTGCACAGAGGACTCTGCTGGACTGGGACCCAGATTCGTTCTTACAGACATGGTAGGCCATACTCTAAACTGCAGCAACATCTGACACAAGGTGAAGGGTGTTCATGTGTACGCATGTTTGCATGCATATGAACTTTGAGATGATTTTTCTCTTGTTAAGAACCTGTATCAACACACTTAACTTGCTCTAAGCATAGTTCAGCTTACACCCATGGAAAATAAGAGGGAGGAAGCAATAGCTCTGAACTGTTTGTTAAGTAAATCCATGAGTAAATTCTACTCTGCTCTCAAATGGTCCACAAAATGTTCTTACTAAAAAAAAAAGATTGATTATATCAGCAATAAACACTTTCCATTCTGATTATAATTAATATATGAACACACATACAAATCTTACAGTAATACAACAGCTCCCATTCAGAGGTGGGGAAGTTAATTCATGTTTGAATAGTTTAAAATTATTTTTTTAATAAGAAAAAAACAGCACTAGCAAACCTGCCTAAGCAGAAGGTGACACTCAGCTCCTGAGATGTGCTTGGAGTAAAACCTGTTTTATTTCTCCCCTGTCCTCAAAAAGAGAGAATTACTCTTCTCTTGGAGGTTCTCTCAAAATCATATCATATGCATAATCAATCCCTTTATTTTCCAAATCATGTTATTTGGTCTTACTGATACACCAACTTTGTCTTTGGGAAGTGTGCCAAAAGACAGTAAACAATACATCACATGTTTTTGCAGCATAAACTTCACGACAGGATTAAAAGCGTGTTGTAATTTATCACAGTGAGAGTTACTTACTCAGAAGATAAACTGTCTCTTCTACAAAGTTTCTCTGTTGGCAGATCTCTAGAGCCTTGAATTAAGACAAAAGAAAGAAAGAGAATACAGGGAACCACGTAACAAGATATTCTATTGATCACAAATGCTACAAGAAACTAAAGGATACCTTTCCATGAAGTTGCATTACTCATTTTGACAGGAATACAGCTTCCTTAACATGCACTGTCAGGTCCTCTGTCATTAATTAAAAGGAGAAATTCCATGGCATTTTTTGCTTTTTTCTCTAAGATCAAATAATTTTAGTAACTGGGATGTTTTTCAGCTACACACAGATTCCATAACTGCCCATGACATCAGCTCTCAGCAGTAACAGAACCCGTGCACAGTTGAAATACACCCCAGTTACTAGAATCACCAAACTGATTACCAGTAAGTTCTTAGCAACGCAAATCAGGCAGGCCTGGGTGTACCATAAATGATGCCACGTCTGTTTACAACCTAGAAACAGAAAGCAAATTCAAGACTCACCGAATTTCCATGGCATTAACTGTTCACCAAATAAATACTTTCATACTTTGAAATCAAAACTATATCTTCGTAAGACATAGCTACAACTGATGACAGAGGTAGGAATTAACTCTTCCTTCTATTCTCAAATTGTTTCAGATGGGTTACCATAAAGTCCAAAGACATACACAATGAATTTCAGGGGCAGGGTAGTGATTTCACAACCAGATACTTGGGGTGCTTGAAGGGATAAATAATGAGTAATTAATATATTATAAACAGAGTTGATAACCTTTTTTCTCTCCACTTAGAGTACAAATTAGCAAGTATTCAGTATTTCTGGAAGTTGCACATTCAGTGACTGCCATGCTCCCTCTAGAGGAAAAGAGGGGACAGTCATATTTTTTTCTTCAGTTTGTTTTACACAAGCTTTGCTAAACTGCACTTGAAAGCAGTGGCTTACTTTTAGAGAAATAGAGTGACTTCTTGCATTGTTTATCATTTATTTACAGCAACAGTAAGTACGAGTTTGTTCAAATTGTTTTTTTCTTTCAATTTTCACACAGCACTGGAGCCAGCTTAACAGAAACTAAGGACCTGGGAAGTTATGGTTCTCCCTTTTATGTCGTTGGAGCAAATATACATGTGGAGCAAAAAGCACTGTTATATGGTATTTATGGTAAAAAGCACAAAGGCTGCTCCACAGGTAATGCCTTCTGTTTTTTTATGTTGGCCCACGACATCAGAGGCAGATGGTGGTGGTACAGCAGTAGGAGTTGAACCTCCCACCAATATTCCATTATATTTTGTGGTGGTGCAACAGATGGCAGCAGAGGGGCAGCCTGACCAAATGGTGCCTGGCATGCAAGTGTGTACGAAGCAAAGGAGTGGGCTGGGCCTCTGACATGTTCTTGTTTACAGTTTAAAGCAGTGCCAACAATGCCAACACTGAAATCACGTAGTTTTTGGAACAATTGGGACAATTTTAACAAAGACCAAGGCTGCAGTCCTAACATAGTTTTATTTTCCTGTATTGAACAGGAAAGTTGGCTGACAGTTGAAAAAAGCAAACAAAATAAGAGAGGTGCCATGAATGGTTCTGTTTAGAGTGTCAACCACAGAAACTACAGTATTTGATAATACATTTAAACTATTCCATAAGGGTCATCACTACATCTGCATACAGAAAGGCAAACTTTCAGCTTGGCTGAGCAGATTAGACCTCAACTGCAAAATCAGGTTTAAAATAATACTGACCCAAATGAAGAGTAAAACTCAAATTTCCTTTCCATTCACTTTAATTTAGAAGTGTTAAATTAAAAAAAAAAAATACAAACATGAGCATCATTAATTCATTTTATATTTGATGAGACAAAGTAAGGAGGGGGAGATGTAAAAAGGATAAAAAAGATGGCAACACAGAACTTCGCAAAATTCCCAGTCTGCTAGCAGAAGTACAAAGTCAAAATATTTCTGGCTCTGTTAGTTTACTTACTGTTAAATTGTGTAAGTTACTTGAAAACAACTCAGAACCTTAGAATATAAAGCTAGAAAACATACCATTAAAGTTATCTATTTTTGAAGATCTAGCACTGACTATGCTTAGATTTTTCAAAACAATTGTTTATTTCTTGCAACCACAACCCACTGCCTCAGTCAGGTCAGGCTCTGATGAATAAAGATGCTTCAGGCATGCATCAAGTGTGAATTTTGGACTTCTGCCTTAAAAACCATCTCAAATTCCTGCAATCTGAACTACAAGAGAAAGGTCTTTGCTAGCAGCCAGGAGAAGGTGCATCACTTCTGCAGGTAATGATCACAAAGCCAAAGGATTCTCCCTTTTGGCAGTAGAGGGCAGTGCCAGACACATTTACAGATGTACAATTCTACAAGCATGAGATGTAAAACTCCATGACTGGTGTTATGGGGCTTACCTTCTCTAGTGGGCAGTGTGTGCTGTCTCTGAGAAATGGCAGTAAATTTGGACGATCATATTCAGCATAAAGACTGATCTGTTTTTCATGATACCGCTGTCCTTTATGGTGGTCTCTTTTGAAAAGCTTGTGCAAATACTAAGATTCAAAAGAAGAAATGGAGTTCAGAAACTCTCCCACAGCATTATTTGGACTGTATAAAAAACTCCTCATTAAATTCCTCAGGAATACACTAACACATACTAAAAGGCACAGAGATTAAATCCTGATTCAAAAGACTGATTTTTTTTTCCCCCAAAGTACTCTCATCACAGCATTCTCCATTATTAACTCTGTAAAACAGTTTCTTAGCAACATTTGAGTAAATGTCCTTTAATCTTCACAGATTTTGAATTTGATGGAAAACTTCGGAGAAATATACCAAATGAAACATTTATTTACCTAGGTATGCTTGACCATTATGGGTAAGTTTAAATTATGAACATTTTAACCAAAGTACTGGTCCTATAAATAGAGGGGTGAAGGCCATTCTTCCTCTATGAGCAAAAAAAAAGAAAAAAGACTTAAGAATAATCTGGAGGGTCACTTGTATCCAAAGGGAAGCAGACTCCACACTTTGAAACAAATGCATGCCCTCCATAAACTGAGGGCATCTTCTTCGAAAAGCTCTTGGGCTGCAGGCTGCACACTTCATAGAGTTGTTTGCTATAATCAGATCTCTAACTCATAAACTTGCTCTTTCCAGCAGATCGATCGATGCCTTGAGCCCCAATACAGCAGCAAGTTAAAACTTCCCTCCCTAATACAGCCCGAGATCACAGTTACATGTTAAGCATTCTACCAACAGCACGCTCCAACTGAAGGGTTGCTCTCAGAATAGCAATTTGGAGCCACAGTTGTTCTGATGTATCGTAATTCTGCACAAAGCAGAACAGTCCTGCAGAGTATGGAATTTACTGCTCTAGATAAGCAGTTCACTGTCTTTATGGAACAGAAAAACGTGCTTCAGAGTTGCATCCAACATTCAACCTCACTTCTATGTAAGGAAAGAGGAAGTGGGAAGCAAGCAAAAAGGAACTCACCAGAGAGGACAAGCATCTGCAATGCAAATAAGGAATACCTCAGAAGATCTTAACCAAAAAGTCGTACATTACCAAGTTCTCACATGTATATACTGTAAGATTATTTTACTATTGTAAAAATGCAATGATCGTGGTAGAAAGTGGATGAGCAGAAGTAGCCACTTTGGTTGTGATGATTTATGAAATTTCAGTATCGTGTGCACATTGACATAGCATACACACATGGGACCATAGAATCTTTAGAGCTGAAAGGGATCACTGAAGGTCATCTAACCCAACTCCCCTGCAACGAACATGGACACCACAGACAGATCAGGCTGCCCAGGATCTGAAACAGCCTCACACTGATAGTCTCCAGGGACAGGGCATCAACCACATCTCTGGGCAACCTGTTCCACACCACTCTCACTGTCAAAGATTTTTTCCTTGTATCTAACCTAAATCTACCCTATTTGAGCTTGAAACCATTTCCCCTTATTCTATCACCACAGACCCTGCTAAAGAGTCTGTCTCCTGTAGCTCCCCTTTAAATACTGAAAGGCCACTATCAGGTCACCTTGTGGACTCCTTGCTGGAGAGCCCCAGCTCTCTCAACCTGTCCTCAAAGGAGAGGTGATCTATAACAGATGTGTCCTGCAGATATCTTATCCAGCTCAAAGTGAAACTAGTAAAATATAGAAGTTTTTACCACATGCTGTAGTTCAGGTCTGTTTTCTAGCTCTTCAACAACTCTGTCAATCTGCAAGAAAACGAAAACCCAAATCTCTGCAAATCTCTAGCAAATCTCTACATCAAACATCACATTCACAGGATTGAAAGGGGGATGAAAAATGCAAGCAGCACTGGATCACTGTATCGTGAACTTGTCATACGCACGGAAATTTTATCTTCGTTATCCAAAAGCACGTCCACTGCTTTCTAAAGTAAAGAAAGAAAATCCAGGTAAGAAATAGGTATGCACATTTTGTCACTCTTGATTACAGCACTATGCTTGTTCACTGATGGGTATCGGATGGATGCTGCAGACTTATTCTTCTCAGCAGCATTAATTCAGAAAGCACTTTGCATAACAACAGCACTCTCCAACAGCAGAGCATTACAGGTAAACAAACACATAATGTACTCATCCAGAATACCTGTCCAAAGTTCACACACTAAAAGTAATCAGTTCTGTGCACTTACACTGCAGGTACAGTATGCCCATTGAGTCATGGCTCACAGAAGGCCATAGGCAAATGCTGAAGAAATACTATTTGTCCAAATGCAAAAGTCAGCTGCAGAGTGATGGCTGTATAGGAAACACACAGCTCAACTTGCCTTACAATTGGATTCCCCCAGCCTATCTGCACACTGCTACTGCTACTGTAACAGGAGCAGCCAAGATCACGTAAACAAGAGTAGTCATCAGGGTGCCTGCTCTGCTTCCACTTATAAAATCAAATTTTGGTTCAATAAAACCATCATCAGATGTTTGATGTAACTCATTATATTTATTTTTAAAAAATGATACACTATACCAAATACTCATCTTTGGTATAGATTGCTCCATCTTTTAGTTCCAGTGCTGAAACAACAGCTGCACAGAAACAGGTGATGTACTTGTTTTCTTCCAAGGATCATAGAGATTGTTTCCCCAAGTACCAAACAGATTCTTTTCCCAGCACGCATACAAAAGCTCATTTGCTGAGGTTTTAGACAACTGGGAAGAAAGAAGATTGAATTTGGCACCATCTGCACACTTTTTGATTTTTGAGATTTAAGTTAATGACTACACAAACTTCCAGAAACAGAGTAATAAATTACAATGAAAAAAAAAAAGTGCAAAATACATTCAAAATCTGCTCACACCAAATTAACTGCTTACTACATCTGGCTCCTCAGCAGTGTGAACTAAGGAGAAACGCAGAAAAACATCATAGCGTAAGTCTACCTGCACAAATGATCTCAGCACTGGCACTCTTCTCACTGTGAGTGACACTCAAATGGAAATATAAAAGAAAAACTTCATCCCTGGATTAATCCCTATGCAGTCCAGGCAAACATCTCCTTGTCTCAGAATGTATCCAGATGCAGTAAAAAAACTCCATGCTTCACTGCTATCTTTAAACTAATTTTTCATAATTTGTTAAGGTATCTCTAGCTGAAAGTGAATATTAAAAGCACCGTACCTCTGAATCAAAATCCATGAGCAGAACAATTTTATCTTTGATGGAACTGAACAGATTGTGCTTGTGGATCAACTGGAAGACGTCTTTGTGTCTGAGAGTTAGGTAAATTTCTAGGGCTCTGCCATAGCGCTGGTCATACGTATACTTGCCAAAAAGCAGCCTTGTTATTTATGTGACCTAAGTGCAAGAAAATCACCTCTGAGAGGAAAATAAATAAATATACATCAGAATGCAAAACATTTTAGGATGGTACTTGATTTTATGAACATGTGAATAGTTGCCCATTTGTTTAATAATGAGGAATAGCACTGTGCAACTCCATCTATGTAACAGTCACAGTATTCATGTTCTGTGGTTCCTGCATTTTCAGTGCCTCCTGTTTTAAAACCACAGGGAAAGCTACACAGAAACATTAGCTTTTCTAATTTTGGAAGCCACCTGAAAACCACTTCAGAGCAAAATAAAATTAAAAAAAAAACAACTAACACACAAAAAACCAACCCATATTGCTCTCTTAAGACTTTGGGACAGACAGTAACAGAGCAGCAGACAGTAGCTCTGCCTTCTTCAAAAGAGGGTGTATGAAGATAACTTAATATAGGTGGGCATCAGGCTGAGAAAACTGAAGAACTGTATCCTTGTAAGAAGTACTTTAGAACCAGATCAGCTTTAACACATTTTCTAGTCACATATTTCCAGCCATGCAGTAAACTTAAATATACTATTTTTGAAACAGAGGGGAAAAAGAAAAACAGATTATCTTCCTGTTATTTTCCTCTTCCCAAAAAAGACTTCCTCAGGCAGCACAGAGAGAAACTCAGGGTATTTGTTTTGGAAAGAGAAGTAGCAAATCCATTCTCATACTAAACTCTTCGTGTTCATACACTGCAACACTGCAACACAGCGAGTATCTCTGTTAAGAGACTTAGACAAATATTTATAACCTACTGCATCCTATCTCAAGCACACTTTCTGGAATACGAGTTTTAAATTGTACTCACAGTTCTGCAAGGGTTCTTAACAACGTCCTGTTTTGTGGATCTTTCTTCAGGTGATCTACTACAGCTTGAACTATGATTGTGTTGTTGTAGAGGTCTCCAGGCCACTCTTTTATCAGGGTTGCAAACCCCTAGAAGTATAAGAGATTGTAACAGAAACAGAAATAAGTGCCTAAGGAACATTTCAAACATCAAAGCCCCAGCTAAGCCTCTGAGACGATACATGCTGTGCTACACCTCTAAGCCACTTCTACATGCCCACAAACATGCACAGCGTATAGATTTTCCTTCTCAGGGCAACGTTATCAAGATTCATGAAGCTGGGTCTCTTTCAGGTGTTGCTTGCTTTGTGAAGCAGGTGGGCTACTTGTTTTACATTAAACAACTAAAAATAATAGTATTCCTAATAAGTAAATAATCCTAAAAGATTAATGTTCTCTGAAAAACATTTTACTTATTCTTCTGTAAACAAACAAAAAGTGTCTTTTTTTGCTATCATGGAATCGTTCATTGACAACCTGTTTGAACACAATGAATTCTACACTGCTGAGTGTGTTTTGCTTGCAACTGCTGCTACATGTGGACACGTCTGGCTGTAGTACCTCATAGTCACTCTCCAAAAACTCATGCAGAACCATCTCATAGATAAGAGGTTTCAAAACTGGATCCCGTCTGGGCAAGTAACGACTAATTGCCTGCAGGAACAAAAAGAGCAAAGAGTAAGAAGGGGTATGATGTATGACATGCTAGTATTTTAATGATAGAAATAAGAGTTGTTGGGAAACAAACAACAAAGCCAAGCACAAAACACAGCTTTTAGTGAACACTGGAAACACTGTACACTCTGATTTGTAACCAGCATCCATTACCATTTGATTTAAGATGGCACACATTGGAAACATATAACTTACCTGAAAGAAATTTCATTAGATAGATAGTGGTAAGATACTAGTTGGAATGGGAAAATGAGCCACTGGACTTACCAAGGTGTAACTACTGACTCGCAGTCATTACAGAATAAAACATACACAAAAGACCCCTCAGAAAAAGTTCTCAAAATCCATTTTGCCTAGTCTTTCCACTATATCTTGTAAAAAAGTATGAGCACTCACTAGTTGAAAGATACTTACTTTTAATTTGTGACTTACTGTGAAGCCATTACAGTTTTGAAGAGTTTTGTTTCACTGGCTATTTTTACGCACCCGAATAAAAATTAATTTGAGAATAGACCTCTCCAAGGAAATTCTGAATGAATGTGACCTGTTACTCTATAGAAGGTGTTAAGAAACTGCATGCTGACAGTTGGGAGACAGGAATCTGCCCAAATTAATTAGCTCATGCCATGGAATTTCAGTACAGCTTCTTATTTACCACTACTATTCCACACAAAAAGAGGCCAAGGTTATTACAGCCTGCCAAAACAAACCCTACCACTACTTGCCATGCTGGGACTCTGGGGTTTATAGCTGAAAGCCCAGCACTGATGAAATTCCTCCAAATACTCGGAGAAATTGCCTGTTGCCCACTAACAGAACACGTTGAGGAGCATTTCATTACTGAGGCTGCTTGAACAAAGCAGAAAAAATAACATCAAACTAGAGCACAGGTTGGTGTGGCTTTATAAACGATTATTATTTGCAACCAATTCTGCCAGTACTTGACTTTGAAGTGCAGCGTGCTGCCAACACCAGCTCTCACCATCTGTCAAAGAATTTAACAGCTACCTTGGGGCACAGCCCTGCCAGCTGCCCCGGGGAACCAAACCACAAAGAAAGCAAGCTGGATGTCAGCTGGAGGCTCGAAGAAAAGATTCCCAAACTGCTGTTCTCATACCCCCTTCCTGCTTTACTGTCACCTCCTAAGCAAACAGCTTCAGTGGAAAGGCTTTGCTGCAGTTTCTAACTCTGGTTTGCCAGCACCACCCACTGAGGAGCAGAGGCAGCTGGCTCTTCATGTGGGGCCAGAGCAATGCAGAAAGGAAACCACTTTGGCCCCAAGTCCCACTGCTTCAAAGGGAAATCACAACCACCTCCTGCAGCCTGGCTCCTGCGCCCAGTGAAGACAGAAAAGGATCCAAATAATTTTTGATCCAAGGCACAAAGTTGAACTAAAACCTATGCTGGAGGTTACAAACTCTCCCTATTTTATCTTTAAGCGGTAGTTAAAGAGTGAGGTCAGAGAGACAAAAAAGCTACAGAATTGGGATGCCTTTATATCAATTCCTCAGCCACACAGGGAAACTGACTTTAAGTGAAAAGAAGATACTACATACGGAAGCATTTTCTTTTTTCTTTCTTCTTCACACATGCTTCCAGACTTCTGATCAATAAAAGCTGGATATACACAAGAAATCACATATAGAAGGTGACATGACGTAGCCTAAAACATCTCACCGATAAGCCCAAACCACAAACACGTACTCCTCAGAGGACACTTCTGAGATGAAATAGGCTGTCTGGATAATGCTGCTCACTGCTAAGCCCACCAAGTCAGGTGAAGTCTTTGAAGTGTCCTCTAGCCAACATTTTGGTCATTAAAACATCCCTGCTGCCACCTGATCATCCTGCACCCCCACTGAAAGTCACTGCTGCCACAGCAGAATCAACAGCATGGAGCATATTCCCCATGCCACAATCAACAGCACTCATAGTTGGACTTCCTCCAACAAATCCACCTCAATGCAGGCTCAAGGAACCCTGGACCTAATGCTGCAGTGATTCATGCACAAGCTCAACACTCCATCAGGGTAACACTGCCAGAGGAGCAGAGGAGCAGATCGCCTCAAGGCCCTAAAATTTTGAGACTGCTGTTTAACAATTTAGCTGCAGAATTGAGAACCACCAAGATACCAAAATGCAGCCTTGATAGCCAAATAGAATTTTTTAATATAGTACACTCAAAAAACCCTAAACTCACAAGCTATACTGCAACCATCAGGTTCCAGGCAACAGCTTGCAGATGAAGGGGAAAATCTTTAAGGAAATTTGCTTTTGAAATGCACAAATAATTCCAGAGAATGACAGCGTAATACAACCATTCCAAAGATAAGAGCTAAACTTCAAAAGTTCATGTCATTTTATTTCCTGGTCCTAGAAAACATTTCGTCTCTTCACCAAGACTAAAAGCCTTTACAGCCCAATTATATTATTGTGTTTCATAGCTGCTGGTGGGATAAATACGTAAGAAATTCAAATAACATAATAAAAGAAATCACAAGCATTACAAGAATTTAAATCTGGCTAAACTTACTTCATATGCCCTTAATAACCTGGGAAAACTTGTATGAAATTGCAATAGCAAAAAAAGAAAGGCAACTTCCAGAACTGCAACCTGAAGCTGAATGATGTAACGTACTGTACTTTATGTTTTCCCAAGTCCATTTCCAAGGGATCTGAAAAAACCACCAACCACTTAGAAAGGCAGTAATTTAGTGGAGATTTTTTTTGCAGCAAACGTGCAAATATTTTCATATTTTACAGTCTGTTGGATGACATAAGTGGAATCAAGAAAAACATCCATTCCAGACACTTGTATCTACAGACAAAATAAAACCAATAGAACTATGAAGCAGCGTATCAAAATTTTACCCGTACCTGCACTCAAGTCCTTTACTGGATTGAAATAAAAAGACAGAAGCATGTGATTTCACCTGCCAGTGTGGCAAAGAGTGCACCGAAACCACTAAGAACTCATCTAAAAGGCAAGGCTGTTCTTGCACTGGTGTGACTAACACAAAAGCCGTGCATTTCTAAAAACCATAACGCTGAAACACTTCCACTCTTTGAACAGAATTAAACAGCTGAAAACCAGCAAGGGACTGCACACTGTGACACCTTAATTATATGTCCTTTTTGGCTCATTGAGTTTGAATAGGAAGACATCAAATTCAGAAACAAACGTACGTGCATCACCAAAGGGAGACTGCATACTGTTTTCTACGGGTTTGGCAGTGACAGCAGTGTATAGTCTTATATCCCAAGGCAATTTATTAACTGAGAATCACACATTAAACATACACCATCATGGTAGCTGGCTTCCTACCAGCAAAAACACGAGACAGGGCAGACTGCTTCTCTTTTGCCACCATTTCTAGCAAGGAACAAACTGAGATCATCTGGTACCATGCTAGCACAGGCAGAGCAAGTCACCACCAGAAACAGGAACACAACTAGCTTAAATCTTAGTTCAACAGCAGTCTGTTGATTCTCTTGGCACATTTTCTAATTTAGACATTGCACAGGAAACAAATACCTCCCTTTCCTCTTCACCTGGTGCTTGAGGTACACAGGGGTCAACTGCTGGGGGACAGCCACCTGCACACCTGTATCCACCTGCACACCTGTATCCCTGTCCCTAAGTTTCCTAAGACCGCTATTCCACAAACTGCAGAGATCAAATCTGTCCAAACGACCTCTAGAGGCATGACTGATATCCAGCTCTGCGTGCTGTAGTAGAGAGCCTGGCTTCACCTTCAATCACCCACTCTGCCACGGAGAGTGCAGGCTGAGGATTGCAATCTTTTATCGGCCTTCTCATCCACAGCTGGCCAATTCTCAGGCCAAGACCAGGCCCTAGAGACACAGGCCCTCTAGCAGACCCCCTTTTTGTCCCAGTAAGGTCATGCAGAGGATGCCGGGCGCTCTTCTCCCCATCTCTCTCCTCTGGGATCAGGGCAGAAGAGGTGCCGAAGGACAGCTGATACAACTCTTGAAACTCAACAGTTTTTAACGATTACGTCTCCCTTGGCTGCCTGTGGGGTATCAGCACGCTCTACCCCCTCTGCTGCTGTCTAGCACAGACAGCTAGCTGCAGGGTGCTCAAGAACCCCTGCCCTGACCCTCTTGGTATGTTCCAGGCAGCTGCAGGGTGGCTGAGAACCACCCCCCCAGAGCCCCCACTCCATGGTACATTCTTGCAACCATCTCCCAACTGCCAT